TGCCTAATGAACACATGATGAACTATTGACCCAAGCTTGGTGTCGATCGGACATACCAATGTGGAGAAATGGTCCACTTCCTTTTTTGACGAAAAATGTACAGGAAGTGCTAATTTTATAGCGTGCTTATTTTTTTAAATATCAAAAATCTTCGAATGACTTTTGTGTAAACAGAATTTATCTGAATAAAGTCACTTAAATGCATCTTTTTTATACAAATGTTAAGTAAGTAAATGTACTCAGTTTTTTTCCACTAAAGCAAATTATAACATTACCTGTAAAACAGCTGACGTACCATAAAAACTATTTATAATTAATTGAATATCAATATGCAGCCAATTAATTTACACTTGGTCAATCATTAAGAATTATTTGGATGCATGTTGGAGCTTATGATGATTAACTGAAATAAAAACAGTAATATACTATACAGCATTATAATGCTTATAGTTTCATAAGTATATAAAGTCAACTTAAAGAAAAGGAGTCAATGGAACAAACTGGAATTGAATCGCCTGTAATTAAAATACTGCACAGATTTAAATTCAATCAAAACAACTGAGTTGCTTCAACAGTTCGAGTTTAAAGTTTAGTTTGTGTGAATAAATGAGGATTAATTTATGTTAACTTACTTCTTTTATTAATACGTCTTTTGTAAATTAATTTCTTTCTCTGCAACCAACACAACAACATCGTCAGCATATAATGAAATACTAAAGTTGATATCATCAGCTGGTGCAATCCTTTTCACCTCCCTGCTTCAGCCCCTGTGAACATGTGACTGGGCTTTTTAAGGGGCGTGATGGCAACTGTGTGATTGTTGTTCCACTGTAGCTATCTTCCTGTCCATGTGTTTTGAAAGCAGATGTAAGAGTGTGATCAGGTGTCACTCCTCATGTGTTTTCACTGGAAACAGTTTATGTGGTTTTAAAGCAGCTGTCGGTTTCAGGTCTTCATCTCGGTTTCTTAAATGCTATTCTTACACCTGTTTTTCAGTGACACTGGACGCTCACTGACGGGACAGTCGGCGGTCACACAGAGGTCTCTGCTGTGTGAGTTAATGGATCACTGATCAAATCTGTAAATCAGTGCATTGATTGTTGCTGTTTCGATCAATAGAGGGTCTTATTAAATCGATCTAATAAGGCTCAAGGACTCGTTAACTTTGCTGCTGGTAATGAATGTAATGTCACAACAAGAAACTGAGTCTGAAACCGATGCGTTTATTTTCAAATGTATACTGATGGAGACGCATTAGCCACAGGAGGTTATGCTAGCTGTTGCTAACCCTCTACTCAGTATGTTTATATTGTGACGCAGTGGTTTGGACGCTGTAGAAGCACCGGACTGCAATCTTTACCTTGATCCCACACTGACAGGCCCTCCACAGACACACACACACACATACCGGAGAGTTAGCCTCTCTGAACTTAGCTACAACACAGCTGCTACATTTTTACAACAGGAGAACATAAGAACCACTTTAGGCCTACAACAGTGATTAATGTGTGTCTGGTAAACTTTAGTTTCAATCTGAGTGAGGAGCTTAAATACTATTTGGTGCTTCCAGGACTCGTGGGACCCCGGTTTATATTTTGCTGAACCTCAATAGCGTTGGCTGCTAGTTCTGAGTCTCATGGACAGATTTATTAGCTTTCACGACCAACGCTGCCGGCTTACTGTATTTATTTCCTTTTGGTCAAAAATGGCTCTTCTGATCAGAGGTACATGAATTCTAGGTACAAATACAGATATTTGTAGTAAAGTAAAACGAAAGTACTCTCTACTAAAAAAGGACATTTCTTCTGACTGTTTTTGTGCAAAGCTAACTGAAACTTAAAATAGGGTTGAGTCTCCTTCTCGTCTGTTTATGTCTTTTACGTCGTTTTCATCTCATCACGCTCTGTCCTGCACAGATATACACCGGTGTTGATGTAGGCAAGGTGTGCAGAAAGGCAAAATATAATCTTTAATTCCCCTCAAAAGCATTAAAACTAAAGTAACAGTTCTGTTTTGAAAATGGAAAAAGTAGAAGTTCAGATGTTTGTGTAAAAATGTAAAATAAATCCTATTCAGTGCTCCTCTAAAGCTAAAGTTCTGAAAACACACAACTCTCATGATCCCACGCTACTTCCCGACGCCATCAAATCTTTGGTGTTTTGTTGTTGCTGTGATGGCGGCGAATGTTTAAATGACTCAAACGCTCTTTAGCCTAAATGAGCTTGAGTTTGAGTGCCGAACTGAGCGTGTGTGAACTGCAGTGCGGCGGTCGGTCCGTCATCATCCACCTCCACACTGACATCACACCTGCTGTGTGGAGGAGGACGAGAACAAAGCAGCTTATGTGAACAGAGCCACTGCAGGTCACATGACTCACACACGCAAACACACGAGGAGCGTCCTGGTGTTTGATTCTCTTTGATGAGTTATTTCTTTGTGCCTGCAGAGTGAAAAAAGGTTCTAATGAAATGGAAATCAGTGGCCTGTAGTGGCGTTGGCGACTTACCCTCTTCCTCAGGTTGTAGGTGAGCACCAGGTTTCTGGCGAAGTGGTTGGCGAAGGCGGCGTAAAACTCCAGGACTTTCTGCAGCGCGTCTCGCTTGATGATGTGGAGGTCGCAGTAGGTCAACGCTCGCACGTTAGCGCACGACTGCGCCAGAGTCATCTCCTTCCAGAACACGTCGCCGAACACGTCACCTTTACCTGCAGACAGATACACAGAGGAGACAGTTAACAGACACTGTATCTTGATTGGACGATATTCGATTCACGTATGTACACTGTGTCTTTGAGGATGATATTTGATCAGTATACAACTCGTATCGTTTATGGGATGATAGGTTCGATCAGTATTACACTGTACTCTTTATGGATGATACTGATCAGTATACACTTGTGTCTTTATGGGATGATATTGATCAGTACACACTGTATTTTCATGGATGATGATGATGTTGTGTTGTCAGTCACGTAACTGAAGACTCCAGATTAAAGACACAAAGTTGTGTTGTATGAATGAAACTTGAGAATAAACAACCTGTTCAATTTATGTCCGATTACACATTAACAAATAATCCAGTTTCCGATGTTTTCTTCCGAAAGAAGCTTCTTCAAACAAGAATAAACTTTAGAAAATATATTTTTGAAGTGTAAATTAAAGTCTGATATTCAAGTTTAGTTTCAGTGCTTCCTGTTTGAACCGACACGTTGAACACACACATTTATCAGACTGCAGCTGCTCCGACTGAACTCCAGCCTCAGTCTGAGAAGAGGAAGTGAAGCTGAGGTGAACACACTTTAAATAGTTTCTGATGAGATGTGAAAGCAGAGACGGCGGCGTTGGGCTCAGAGAGATCAGCAGTGAAAGTCTAAATATTTATCCAGAGAGGAAGTGAAGCTGATTCAGACGGCTGATAACGAACCTCTTCTGGTAATTTATCCTGAAGTAACAGCAGACTGAAAAATCCATTTAAGATGACATCCTTAGTACCACTATTTAAATCTGTACCATTAAACAGTGTATGAACTAGAGCTATGTTCTATATCAGGGTATATACAGAAATTC